AAGATCCTCCTCCATCTTTTCATCCCCTTCCCTTTTTCTTATCCTACCCGTTCTCTGTCCCCTGACTTCCTTTGGTCTCACAAGGAGAAACAGTCAACATGGAAGGATGGAGCAGGAACGCAAGACCTCTTTCCTTTCCAAGTAGTTGAACGCCTGCTGTACCCTTGCTGCCCCTCCCTTTGTTAAGGTGTCCTTTCACAGAAGCAAGGAGAAGCTTTTCGGTTCAGTCAGTCATGCTTTAGCATTTCACTGCTGTTTTTTTCTTTTTTTCTTTTTTTTAAGACTGGCAAAATGTCAGATCCAAACTACAAGTTGTGCAGATACGATTGTTTATTTTTGTGAGCTGTCCCTCAGCAAAACTAACCAACTACTGCTCATTTGGTTAAGGAGGCGAGTGCATCCATCACACCCACATCAAATAAACAGCAAGGTAAGAAATTTTTGTATCACTTAGGCTGCATTTAGGTTGTGAAATCCACTTTTCAACTAAATTGTAGAATTGGAAAGAGAGCCCAGCTCTTCTTTTTTGGAATACAGTTTTACTTCTTAAAGAATAGTCGGTGTTAGTAATTTTCAATTACTCAGAACTAGTGAGCAATTATCCATGCTGACCCTGAAAAGACAGGCCAGCCTTGCTTTAATCCTACAACACACAGAAAATTACCTTGAAAAATGCAACCTTTTCTGTGGTGCTGCTGTCTGAAATTCATGACTCAGGTTCCCAGCTCTACCCTCACATCTAGGTAGCCAAGCAACCACCAAATCTGAAAGTGTGTACAAACAGTTGTATATCAAAGTTATGCTAAAGAGTACTTCCTCCTTTGCAGTGATCAGGAAATTGCAATATTGTTTTGAGTATTAATTATGAGCACACCTGCAAACTTTACAGTAGCTGTCAGTTTCTTCTAAAAAGCTCCAAGAAGTCAAACCAATACATCTAGTATTAGTGCAGTAAGGCAGTAATGAAAACAATGGTTTTATTTACGTTGTGACACTTAACACTGGTTTCAAACAGAATAATTACATTTGTGAGGTGGTATCATAATAAACACCACAAAAAGCATGTTACAGAAACAAAGAGTTCTGGTAAGATACACAAGTTTAACACCAGAGAGCCAGCTGTGGAAAAAATATTTGCAATTTCCATGAACTGTGTACAACTCAGTGTGAAAGAAACTTCAAGGACAGAAAAAAAACTTTAAAGATGAAGTTAAGGCTCTTATTTGCAAGTGATCTTCCTAATGGAAGCATATGGAAAATATTTTCTCTAAAGGGGATGCAGCTTGAGGACTTAAACCTGTGCAGGAAGCTTCACAATTACAATGCTGTGGAGCAAAATGTCCATATTAGTGAGGGCTGCATGTCTTTTGTTTCCTCTTTGTATCACTCTACTGTACGAATGAGCCTTCCCCATATGCATCCCAAGATTAAGCTATGCACGCAAGCCAAGTCTCCATCAAATTTAAAAAAGGCATTTATTCTCTTGTCCCCACTCAGCAGGGAACTGTAATTGACATTTCCAGAAGAGAAGAAAATCAGACACCCCTTCAGTAAAAAAAAAAAGCTATATAGAGTATTGTAGCTACCGCAAAGCAAACTTGCCTATTTTAACTGTTAAAATGCATGAGGGTGTAAGCCTGGAAAAACAAGAATCAAGCAAACCAGCCTTTCAGTTAAAAGCAGCTTTAGGTACATTGGGATGCACTCCAGGTGAGCAAGATGAAGCAGCGTGAACAGAATTTTTGCTAGCACTGAAGAGAATGAAGAGGAGAACAAAGCCTTTAGTACAGTACAAGTTCTAACAGGCATCTAACTAAAGCTTGGGGGCTTGGTGGCATGCAAAAATGGAGATCTCCCAGACAGCTCAAAATCATCTGACAGATGAAGGGGCCTACTACACATCCTGAGGGTTACTTAAAGCCAGCTTCATGCATTTACGCATACTGTACCTCCCTCAATACTACATACCCATTTCATCCAGGATTCTGGAAGCCATTAACAGGAAAGGTCTTCACTGGAAGTTAGCAACAGGTTTTTTTGTTTCTTATACAAAATACTTTGTAGGCATTGGAGAGTACAAAATCCCCCCACTGAGCACCAAAATGAAAATGAGATCTTGAACACAGAAAATGGGAGGGAAGGAGGGCAGGACATCAGCTCATGTAAGAGCTGCTTCTGATGGAGTCCCCATCCCGGGAGGTATTTAAAAAGATGTGTAGATGTGGCACTGAGGGACACGCTTTAGTGGTGGACTTGGCAGTGCTAGGTTAACAGTTGAGCTTGATGATCTTAAAGGTCTTTTCCAGCCTAAATGATTCTACAATTCTACAATTGCAGGTACAAAGTACCCACTTATCCCAAAGCACAAGTAATCTTCTGCAATGCTGTAAAAGAGGTATCTGCATTACCCGTATACATTGGTCAAATCTTGGCCCATTCACGCTCCAGTCTGGATGTAACACAGCTTTGTGGAGCGCTGCCACTCCCAGTAGGACTTAACTGCCCTCGCTGGGGCAGACCAGGCCATTGGCCTGCCAGTTTGAAGTACAGGTCAGTGCAGACATTCCAACAGTCTAAACACTGCAAGCTGGTATATGAAGGGTACAGACTTGAAGTTCTGAAATCCTATTCTTGGGAGCCAAATTTAAAGCTACACTAAGTGACTTTAGGAGTCAAAAGTATCTAAATGCTTACTCTTTGCCCCTGTTTATTCTACAGAAGTGACCATGTTCAATACAAGAAGAAATAGCATTCTCCATATTGAAAAGTTAGCATTACCACACTAGACTGAATCAAGAGTTCAACTCTTTCTTGTTAAAAGATGCTATTAATCCTGATTCAGGCCCTTAGAAGAGTAAATAGCCCAGAACTGACAACCCTGTTACCTACTAAGGAGAGGAGATAGTTGGGAAAAGGCACGCTACCACATCCAATTAGCACAACTCAGAGGTATCTTTGGCAATGCATCCATTCTAATTAATTATTCCTGTATAAATCTTTCGAAGCACAGCATCCTATTGCCTTATTCACTCTCACTCTTTCTGGGATTTCATGAAAGCTCACACTTGAGAATGCATATAACTGTAAAATAACTTTCATTCCTTTATTCAAACTTCACATATACAGTGGACAAAAAGACATTTTAAAATAGATCCATATAATTATATGGATTTTTGCAACGTATCAAATTCAGATCAAAGTTAAGATATACACTGTATCCCATAACCAAGCTAAAGCTTAAGTATATACTTCATTTGTGTAATAAAACCCAGGAACTACTCTGAATACTGGAACATTCACCAGTCAAAATCCACCGAGTGGGAAGTTGTTTACAGCAATTTGGAGGTTCAGAATCCCTCTTTACAGGGGCTATACAACCACACTGTAAACAAGTATTTCATTAGGCAGTTTCCCTTCTGTTCTTCCAAACAGCCTTCATTTTACAAAAGCATCTGCTGTAAGGTACAATGGATGCAGGAAGATTTAGACCAGTCGTTTTCAGGTTACCAACCCCAAACGAGTAGGAGATCATCAGCAGTGATCTTTAGATAAAGAACAGCCAGAGCCTAAACTCAGCTCATCTTCGCAGTCCTGATGTGGATTTGCTCATGGTTGGGTGTTTTTCCTCAGGTGCTAGTAGCACAAGCACTCTTCATGCAACTGGAAAGGACCAAAAGTTTGAAACAAGCCAGAAGAGTGACAGTGGGTGTGGTTTTAAGAGAAAAGTTGGAGGGAACTTCCATGTTCTCACCATAAGCCAAAGAGAGCTCCATAAAACATCCAGTCGCAATGTAAGAGAGAATGACAGTTAAATGCAAAGTTCAAGTTAGCACATTTCCAGTGTAAAAACATTTCCTTCACCAGACATTAGTACTGCCTTAGTTGGAAACTAACAACTGATTCCAAACACCACTCTTAAAAAATAATACAGCTCTTCTGGTAAGGACTGGGAAAGTACAAGTAATAACGTACTGAAGTCTAAATTAACAGGTCAACATTTTACACAAAAAGTTGTAAGACTTAAATAATCCCTTTTTAAACTGCTTAACACATCTGATAAATAGCTTGCATGTCAATCTGATATATGCTGTACCGTTTGGCTCTTGAATCCCGAACCTTTCCATAAGAGATACCACACCTAGAACACTGTCAAATAAATAGTGAAAAACCAAAAGATACTGTCTGTTGCAAAGCATGAAGAGTAACAGTACATATGCAAGATAATCAGCGGTACACATACAGGGAATGCCATTCTGGCTGAACAGATTATGAAGCAGTATTCTTCATGAAATACTAGGCACAAGAATCAATCAATTAGACAGGTTTCTCTGCCTAATGGACAAGTCTAAAATTAACATTCTTGGCAATACAACATTTTAACTGATATGCTTCTCAATATTTAAGAGCCTTAATTGCGAAAATCATGAAGCGATGTTTGTATTTGTGTCTTTGACAAGCAGTTACAGTTCTGGACAGATTTCTTCTATGCTGTGTACTCTACTTTCCAGCTGGTCACGAGTAGCATGTGCTGCATAAGAAAGATTACAAAAAATAGGTAATTCTTCATACTCATTGAATATTTTCAAAACACAAACATCCTCCTGAAATCATCTTTGCTTTTCCAAAGGTAATGCTTGCCAACCCATTTTAGCAACCTACAAGCTTTTAGTTTGAGAGTGCAGAAACTTCCAAAATAGTTATTTCACCCTCATGTTCTGAGGGCGTGGCTAACACCATTGTTCAGCCTACCAAGCGCTGAATGCTCAGCACCCCTGGAACTGGGGGGATTTGGATTTAACCCAGGAGTTGAGACATCAGAACTAACATACGAGGTTCCCAAAACACAAGCAAGTATAGTACTTTTCAGATCAAATTTCAATTCCAGATGAGCCACTCTAAACCAAAACAAACTCATAAATGAAGGAGCACAGTCTGTTGTGTTTTTCAGGAAGTCATTAAACTCATGGTTTTGAGCCAAAGAACAGCAATGAGGAAAAGCTCTCTCTCATTAGTACTTTTTGTATGAAAAAGCTCACTCTCTCTATGTAAGAAATATGCATATATATGTGCATCCGAAAATTCAGCACCATTAAAGCAAAGACCAGAAAACCCCACATCCAGATAATGATCTCCTTTAAAAAAGGCCAGTTAGATTTCCGCACAAGTTAGATCTGGTAATACCTGCGGTTTAACAAGTGAATAGCACTGCTAACAAGCGGAACCAATTTGTTGTGTTAGCCTTCTCACTCAAGTCGTCTTTAGGGTGATGCTCACCGTGGTTGAGCAAACACAGTGTATTCTGTTCTACCAAAGGCCAAAAGAGTGCACCTGGTCAGCTGCTGGCTAAGCTGATCAGCACTATCTGAGCAGGGTGATCATAGCAATGCGTGCTAAATGAACCACGGGGAGAGAACAATAGTTCTACTCCTTGTCAATTGAACTGCTAGAGATCACACCCTTCTATGCGATACTTTTGTGTAGCACAAGACAGGTCCACATTGAAATCATCATACTTCAATCTACCTACATCAGGGATCTTTCCTTCAGTGATTTCAAAGAGAATTTTTAAAGGGAGGTTGTTTGTGGTTAGGAACAAAGGTCACTATTTCGCTGTCAAATTCTATTTACGTCGTTCATGGAGTCATAAATAGGGAGTAGCCAGAGAAACTCCAGTAAAGCTGAAATGCTGAAGCAAGCAGCATGCTATTACAACTTGAGCTTTCTTTTCCTCCAAAAAGCTTGGCTTCTAGAATCCATATGCATGGGATAAGTTACCACTACTTGAGGCACGAAAGGAATGACCCATCCACTTAAAACACTCTGTAGCCCACGAAGACAACAGGGGCAAAAAATATACAAACATTTCTCACCATCACTGACTGGACTGGCCATCTTCATTTCAATCAGCAAGAAATCTCAGTCTGTAACCAAGAAGTGCAACTCATATTAGCAGACCTGGTGGTATCTGACAGAAGCCCTCTTAAAAACCTGTCCTAGCCCCTTCTTCAAAAGGAGAGTGTAGAAATTAGAAGAGTACTGTTAGTTTTACTCAATTACAAAACAGACAGGATTAGATGGCAGAATGGAGCATTGGTAAGAGAAGCACAGAACCTTTAAGGGATCTTCACAGACAAAAAAATTTCCAAGCGAGAAGAGAGTCTCAAATTGCCTGAAAAACAACCCAGGACCCAGTGGAGCCCCAGAGTCCCAATTGACTACTAAGAAATGCCTTGTATGTCACATTTTTACATGGAATGATCATCAGTACTGCAGAAGTCATGTCGCTCCACTAGAATAAAAAGACTCCATGCCAGCCCTCACTTACATAGACTGACAGTCTGAGACATAATAGGGGAGTGGTAGCCGCATCGCCGTAACTTCAGAAGAAGTGAAGTCGAATGGAAGAAACCAAAGTGTAGCAACAATACAACATGCAGAAAGAGACAGACATTCCCTATGCAGTTAAAAGCGTCAAAGCTGTTAGTCAGTTTAACAGAGCGAAGCCAAAATAAGCCATCACAAAAATCAGCTCCTGCATCATCCAACACACTGAGTAAGAAACCCCTCCTTTTCTGCTTTATAAGAAAGTGCTTCAAAATACAACCATTTCAAGCCAAAGAGCTCTTCAGAAGCTATCCAGATGAATAATCTTTCCACACGCTTACAGTCCTAACAGGGGAATCTCAGGAACAAGAATATTAATAGCATTTTGATCCACTTCCATGAAGGAAGCAACCAAATGGAAATACTGTTTTAAATACCCAATTGCTTAATATGACCAAAAGTATGGCATGACCAAAAGCACAGACTAGCAAAAAACCTAAGTAGCGAGTGTTAAAACCAGCTATTTGAGAAATGTCCTGTAGCTCTAACATCTGCTTAATTAACATTTATAAATAAGGAGATTCTTTTGTGCCTTCAGAATACAGATGAGAGTGTGATAAAGGGACGTCATCTCAAAAAAGTTATTTCAGTAAAACTTTGATATTACTTTAACACAGCTATGTTGCTGAACATTTATCATCTCAGTGTAGGAACTTCTTAAAACATGGGCACTGGCAGAAGACAGAGAGGTTTATTAACAGTTTTGTCCATATTCCATCATCCTTTGACCAACCCTGCCAGAAAGAATCACATGAGCCACCTGAGGGTATTCAATTGTAGCAGCTGCTACAAAAGTGAGACCAGTACTTAGCCTCAGAACTGATCAAGTACAGAGACCAAAAGCTATGATAGTCGATGCAGAGATTAAGAGAGAGTGAAACATCAAGGTTTGTTAAGCAGAATGATACAAAACAAAAATGGAAGAATTGAGAACCACATCAAGTTAATGGAAAGTTTTCTATATGCCATCATGTGGAGGCGAACCAGTTAGTTAATGGGTTGATAAACTGGCAAACAGTTACATTTACGGAATCTATTGGCCATGAGCAGTCTAAAATTGATAATTACCAGTCGTGGCTCTGAAGCTGGTTATGAGGCAAGGTGGAATGGACTTCAACAATAGAGATGGAAAAATGCTGCAAAGGTGTGCCTTCCTTCCACTGGAGAATGCAGCTGGGGAGCGGAGTTGCCTCTGTTTTACAGCAGAGTGCAGATAGATGGCAGCTTCAAGCCATGGAGAAAGGTCATAAGGTTGCCTATTGGAGCCCTCCTTTCCCCTGGAGAGTGAAGTTCTTGTAAATAGCCATTATAAGGCATATGATAAGTTACTGGATAAAAATCAGTCCATTAATGGGTCTCAGACACATACCAAATGACCCTTCCAGAGCAATTATGAGGGCATTAGTCCTGCTGTAATAAATAACAGGACTAAAATGTGCAATCCACAGAACTTAAAAGTGCAGAACTTTGCAAATCACCTCGTTACTGTATGGAATTTCAACTAATTTTAGAAAAGTTCCTAGTTCACGTGGCTGTGAAAAGCGAGTGTGAACCAAGTTAAACCCATGCAGCATCTTCCCAAGTCTGCAGATTGTGCTAACATCTCATAGCTTTGCCAAGCAACAGATGAATGAGGCTTACAGACTTTATTGCCACTAGTCTCATAAGCAACAGATACTTTTTTTAACGCCAAAAAATTGCTCAAAGTGCTGTTACACACAGAGGTGGGTAGTGAACAGCTGTAATTATTCACCAGAAGGCCACCACAAAAAAAAAAAAAAAAAAAAATCAAAGACTTATTATACAGTCTGCCCTTTTCACCCAGAGAGAAGCTTAAAGATGAAAGAGAAGGTGTCAGCCTCTATAGTTTTACGAGTTTCCTATCAAGAGACAGCCCTGAAGCAGGTTCCAGAAACAGCTCCCAGCTAGAAGTCCCAGACTTTCTTCCAGTAGCTGCACTAAAAGCAAAGCTGAGGGTCTTATACTATATAAATGAACATAACTGCTTAAGGACAGGTGCCTACTGAAGTCCCAACAGCAGTTTTACATTGCAGTAAGACAGGCAGAAGTTCTTACTTAGGAAGTTAGATACACTCCTCTCAACAGGGAGGAAATATTCGTGCTATTTTCTCATTGCTGGCTAGCAGAACGGGAACTGAACCACAACATAAGGCCAGGCTCTCCTGTGCGGCCACAGCTTAAGCGTTCTGTACAAGAAGGTCAAACCATCACAACTCTTCCTTTAAAAAGGATGCTGGCAACTTCACTACCAAAAGTCAGTTATGCTGGGGAAATATTATGAAGCAGATGTGTTTGCTTTTCTGTTACATCACAACAAACAAAAGCCCACACGCTTAATTAGCAATACTGACAGTTTTGGTACCATGCTACAAATCTACCTATCAAGACAGCATGCAGTATTGCACATTGAGCGTTACATACATACTGCACCCCTTCTATTCATTCTCACACTCAAGTGTATTCATTTCCCAACAGCTGAAAGGACCACCAGCATTTAAACATGCTTTTTGATTAATCAGTAGCTCACCATGTTCAGTAGCTTCTGTATTCATTGTTTCTACATCTGCAGCATCATGCATCTCTTCATCCTCATCATCATCCTCTTCTTCACCATGTAGTTCTTTTGCAATGAGCTGTCTTGCCAGTTTGATGTTTCGTCCTTCATTGTAGTGCATTTTTCTCTTCATTTCAAACTGTTTCTTTTTCTCTGTGGACAAATTAATGCAAATATTTATTTCTTCCCTTTAAAAAAAAAAATCAACTTATTTCCTCTTCAGAGAGGAACTAGCTGCTTCCTAGGTCAAATTTATTCCTATCTTGAAAGTCCATTGATTATATGATCAAGCAATCACTCAATTAAAACTTTCTTCAAGCAGTGGAGGGTTCTTTTAAATGAGTCTGACTTACAAAAAGGCTAGTAATGAATGGACTGGAATGGCTGAAGCACTTTTAAAAGAACCTGTCTGCAAGTAAGAGCAAGTCTGAACCAAGAGAAGCACCTAACAACAGCATACGCAATTCCAAAGTTTCGCAAGCCTTGTTCCTAAGTAAACTTAAGAACAAATGGAGACATACTGGTGGGATAGAAACTGAACGTTTGCAGATGTCCGACTTGACTCCTGGCTAGCTACCAAAGGCCAGTTACGAGAGATATATTTACCACATGTAGAAGAAAGTATTTTCCACTTTCCCCACAGCCTGAAGCCTAACTTTGCTCCATATATTAAGCATTAGCAGGTCTAGCAGTAATGCATTATAATTTAATTAAACTTTGTTTATTGGCAGCCCCAACATTGTTGTTTTTTTTCTTCCTTTAGAATAGTTTACACACTCAAAAGTTGGGGCCAGGAAAGGTGAGGAGCAACAGCTAGATAACGCAAGCCTAAAACCTTAGAAGTATTACTGTTTGCTTCCTCAAAATGTTCTAGCCCAAGCTAACACAAAACATCTCTGTTGAAAATTTGCTTAGGAATAAATGTAGATTTCCTGCTGGATCCATCTATCAGTAGCTTTGAAAACAACAGAAATATCATCTGTATGTTTGCAAGCAATTAGTAGCATCTTAATTGCAGCGGTACTCATCAAATTGTTAAGTCTACGTGAAATATGTTCAGATTAGGTAGTACACCATCCCCAAAACCAAAAGAGCTCCTTGTTTGAGAAGTCTAGGCTTAAAAGGAATTGCCACACCTTAAGCTTGTATACAAGGGGGCAGCAGGTAACAGCGAATTCCTGTTCATATGTAGATCCCAAACCAAACAGTCCCAATTATGACAAACAGTGTATTTGTTGAGTCTTTTACTTACCCTTCAAAGACTATTTATCTCCATTTTCAAATTACAACATTTTTGTTAGAAAGTACTTTTTCTTCCCAAATATTTCTTAGGGAAAAAAAACCAAACCAAAGAAAACAACTTATGCCTACCTCGTTCTTCAGGTGTTAATTCTTCATCCTCTTCCTCCTCCTCACTGCTTTCCTCCTGCTTTGCTATAATCTTGGGTCCTTTACCTTCAGCTGCAGCTGCCAGTCTACGTAAAACATGCAATACAAAATGGTGAGGTACCAAGTTTTTCCACTATTTAAAATACATGAAATTTCGGAACACTCACACAAACTGCTTTATTAATTATTTTTGCCATATTTATGTGTACTAACAACCTGCAAGAAGTTTAAAGTACCAGTGGCAATATCAAACACCAAAAACTACTTAATTTGACAACAGCAAAAAGTTTGACTTCCGGAGAAACCAGCAACACCTTTCCATAAAGAAAAACTACTCCAGGAAAGAGAAAATTATCTTAACATTTAGTCAATTTTCTATGACAATACTTACTTTTTACTTAACACATCTGCTTTTAAGGGTTCATTTGATTCTGAATCACTCACTGCGTCCTCATCATCTTCTCCTACCATGCTTGGAAGGCAAACAAAGGTAGCGTTTATCAATAATTTGCCGCTTAAAATTTTCTTGATAAAACAGTCAAAACATTACAATGCTCAATTAAAAGACTCCTTTAATACTTCAAAAACTTTCCAAATCTAATTTAAATATCGATGTAAATGACAACTTTATATTCTAGTATACAGATGTTAACTGAAAAAAATAAATCAGTACAAGTTAGACTTAATTATTCCATTCAAAGCCTAATGTCCGCTAGACATAAACCTTCTAAAAATTGACTTTGTCCTTTTTGACAGTTCTCCTCAATAGCTATAAGCCTTTATTTAGAAGCTGCATAAATCTGACTATGTTGCATATATCCAGCAGGCCTGCACAGTCTGCCAGGCAATCAGCTATAGAAAATACAACATCCACAAAGTCAATTGCTCTGTAAAATTACTATGTCACCTGTCATCCTTTAGGACAGCAGTTTAGCCAGCCTACCTGTGGTAAGGAGTACTCGGCTCATCTATTTTCATCAAGCCATAATCTTTGCCTGCTGGGTGGTACGTAGCTATGATGTTCATTTCATCCCACTTCTGGGATTTTTTACTGAAATAAGAAAACAAAGCTGAATTTTCTTATATTCTTAAAAAAAAAAAAAAAAAAAAAAAAAATTCTGTATGGCCACAGAAAATGAATGTTTAGAACTTCTTTTGACCTCTGCTACATACTATGCACAAAGAATATCGTTATGACATACAGGCATGTTCAAAGCATGGCTATTAAACACTGTTCTAGCCATACTTTAGCTAAGTTATGATAAATTATCAATGCAACTTAATTCCCCTAACAATTCACAATAGCTAAATAAACTCAGTGATCTATAAATGTATTCTTATTGATATACTTACATATATCTATTTTCTCAAGAGACTACTGGTCTTGTTCAATCACTGTCCCATTACTGTTTGCTCTTGTTATAAGTTACTGTAAAATCATTCTTCCTCCTGTTACAACCCATAGCACTTCAACAAAACCAAATAACTTCCACCTCACCTCTGCTCAGTGAGCTGCTATGATTATTAGCGAAACTGTGGCATAAACAATACCAACCAACAAATAACTTCCTGCAGTAAAATAAATAGCACTGAACAAGCTGGTTAGTGATCCCACTTTTGTCATCCTAATGTGGAATCATAAACCAGAACTGATTCACTCCTGTAATTAAGCTGAGGGAGTTTCACATTTTACACAGACAGGTACCAGTGATGTTCCATTATTTAGACTTTCTTCATCAAAGAATGTACCACTTAATGCATATTTGCAGAAACAAAGGTCTACCTGGACTGACAAAATACATAAGCCACAAGGGAAAGCAATAGCCTCGTGGCCAGTGGAACAGTCACCCTTCCACTGATCTAAAAGCCACAGAAACGTTTAATCAAGAGAACCTACCAGGTTCCACATTTTCTCTACAAAGATTATTGCAAGCTGCATACAAGGTGGTCTTTCCCTTAGACTAAACCAAAAAAAATATAGCTTTAGAACAGTAAAATAATTCCACTATTTAATATTACCTTATGCATTAACATACTCCTGAAGTGTTGCAAATTACTGTTTAAGGAAGCAAATGTCACAGGGCTTTGTTTTCATTTGTTTTGGGGGGGGAAGCAGTTGGCTAGAAGACTTTAACTTAACACAGACTGTTCCAAAACCAAATTGCCCTATTTCAAAAATATATTCAGTCTCAATAATACAGCTGCTCTTGAGCAGAATGCTATCTGTAAAACAAAACCAGTAAGGCAAAACTCCAAGAACAAACTAAATTTTACATTTAGGGAGAGCACTGCATAATACAATGAATAAAAACTAAAAGGGTAAAAAAAAGCAGATGCGGCCGTTAATGCTGAATCCTACATGCCACAGACTTATACTCCAGAAACAAATACAAATTAAGTGAGCTTAATCCCCTTAGCATGTAGGAACCAATGCCAAACTCTCATGTTTGAGGTTTCAGATCTATTTAATCATTTTGTTCAAACTGCAACACAAGAATTGCAACCTAAGCGGGCAGCATGTGAGTCAGATTGCCTGCTCTGGCGGGGTGGAGGGTCATGAGCTTCATGATGACAAAGCCAGCTATTCAAACCTATCTATTTAGGAGTCGAAAAATCACCAGTTAAACATCAGCTAAACACCTGCTTAAAGTTCATCTATGACTAACACAGGATGACCATACAGTTACATAGTGAGCACATGAGAATTTTTACTAGTAATAGCATAGTCGAGCCATGGTGCACAGCCCCTGTAAAGAGACAGGCTCAGCTGAAGAGGAAATAGGATAGATGGGAGGAACTCCCATCACCTGCTTTGTGTTTACTGCACTTGCCCAGAGCACATCCAGGTTTATTGCCTGGGCTCACAACTCAATGTCTGATAATAATATTGGCAACCTTCGAAGAATCTCCTTGGCATACAGTGCTCTCAAAATTAGACAGCCTACAGCTAGCAATTCAGTAACTTAAAAATACAAGGCTGAGGAAGATTTTAGTGCTTTAGTTTTTCACGCTCATTTCTTTAAACTTAGATTCCAACATTAAAAGCCTCGGCTGTGGAACACCTCCCAAAGCACAACTTAAAATTCAGCTAGGAAAAAAGTTATCACTGGTGGCAAACAGACAAATGTGTCATTTTACCCCTCCGTATAAAAAGCCATCACAGGAGGGTGACTAAGTGCTCTAAAAACACGCACCTCCCTTGATTGTCTCCAGTTTAGCATGCTTAGGCACACCTGAGCAGTGTAACATTAATGATAGAGCTTAGGACCCATCACGGGAAAACACTTCCTGACACCCCATCAGGTACAGAAATATGAAATCTAATCTTCCTTGGGAAAATCAGATTTGAAAAATCTCAGCAGCTCTCATTTGTGTTCTCTCACATCTTTAAATATACATAATCATTTCTTTTGAGACCACACCCTGACAGGCAAGAAGTTTCTGCAGCAATATTACTCAAAGGAACACCTCTCACACCTGACTGGCTCCTGCCATAGCAGACTCTTCCCTCACCCGTTCCAACACAGCTGTACACACACACACTTACCTAGTTACTTTGTAAGTGCCAGATCAGATCATTCACAGGCTCTTGCAGTATTTTATGTTGTAGGGCTCCTGTATACCACAAAAGCTGGGAACATATCTACCATTAAACCGTGATCTCAGCTCTTAGGATGCAGTTCCAGCAGTGTCCCAGTTTCACAAGCTTCCCTCTTGCATCATATTTTCATTAAGGAAGTTTTCCAAAGAATTTTATCATCATTAACAACAGTGCAAGGTCAGTAATGATGCAAATACATGAGAGCTCTACTGAACATGGTTCCTTAAAACATGACAGCTGACACAATGAGCTCTTTCATCTGCAGCTATTTTTAAAGGTATTCAGATCTGAATGTCAACATCAGAGACAAGCAGAGAGGCTGCTGCTGGAGATGCACGAAGAAAAGAGATACCTTATTTTATAAACTAATTTTCAATCTTCAAGGAAAGTCACAGCTGTACTGCTTATCATTCTTAAGTACAGAATTATTTTTCTGAAATCAGAAATAACACTGATTTAAATGAACCAAAAATAATAGCTGCACACAAACCAGCTTTAAATACCATATGCTGATCTCTCCAGGAAATCTTCCAATGCATCCAGCCAGGTCTAGCCAATAAACTTTACCTTGCAAAGCAATTTCAGAATTAATCTAATGGACTTTAATAGACTCACATCGGTGAACAGGAAATAGAAGCTGTACTCCTGCCCACTTAAATGCTTTGCAAGAAATTACTGTGTACTATAACCAATACGCCATATACTCAGCTCATCAGTTTGTACTCCAATTTCTGACCATTCTTCAAAATGATACAAAAGAGACTGCAGAAAATGAAACAGAGGCTACCAACAGCCAGTTTTACTTTATGTCTGGTGTGGTAGCAAACACCTTGTGCTAAGTTATATTAAAACTAAAGACCAGGAAAAAAAAAAATCACATTTGCATAGCATATCGCTACTTACATTCACCTCCTTTAAAAACACCGTCACATTCCTTCAGTTGCAACAATTTCTCCCTGGAAAGCAGGAGCAGCTAACACAGGCAACACAGTAAACCAAAACCTTTTCATTCTTACCTTGCTGACTTTAGACTATATCCATGACTTAACTAGGCAAAGAGGAAAGGGATATTGCCATAACGCAAAAAAAAATTGCATGTCCATTTTATTTTACCATTATTTCTCTGCTTGCAAGAGCAAGGTCCCAAATGAAGAAAAGCATCAAAAGCCATTCTAGAAACGTAAAGGTTCAGGTCAAATCCAGGTCATCACGATGTGATGGAGTCTCAGAACAACGTCAGGCAGCAGATACTGGGTGCTGAAGTGCAACAGTTCTTACTGGTCAAGGGCAGCTGCTGGCTGGCTAAAGGCCACTTCTTGCATGTTTGGACTAACTCAGCACATTACAATTAAACCAAATTTTCTTGTCATTCAAAAGACAAACCGCCATGGCCAGTGTACACCCTCAAGGGTGAAGATCTTTACAGATGAATCTCGCACAACCAAGAATACATCTCACCTATGCGTCAGCCTAGGAGAGGTCCTCTCCCCAGGGAGACGCTTCTAGTTACAGAGAAATAAGCTACCTTTGAGAAGGCTGAGAACAAATTTCCCACGGCCAAGCCTATTTCCCAAACTGTAAACCGTCCTTGCAGCAACCATAAAGCCTCTCCGTCTTGTCTTTCTGAAGGAGCATTTACTAATACTGCTTGTGCTAACGATTCCCAAACAGGGAAGAATCGCAGCCGCTCTCTCCGGTGCCACACCGCACTCTCGGTAATTCCCCAGCGAGTTCGGACCACAGCTCCCCCGCTGCCCCCGCTCGGGCCGCCCTCGCTTTCTCCCGCGCAGAGAGGGG